CGTATATAAGTTCATCTCGACCCGTACTTTAGAAAACCTTCATATCCATGATGCCGTTTATCCTTACCTCGATGCGATTGGTTGGGCACTATTTTCCCAAATAAAGCGTACACGTTCACATTCTCACATTATCGATTTATTATTATCGCATCTCCTGATATTGTTTCGTTTATTTTACGTGGTCATTATTTTAACAGAGTTTAATCTTGTTATAGGATTCGTGACAGGTGTCACGAGTCTAGATTATCTAACCGCTTTAACTGAGATGCCGCAGGAGTTCGACACGAATTCGGCATTTGCTGCGCTTAACGACTTAGTTGATCACCATTTTGATCCTCGCACGACCAAAGCCATTCACGTGCATGACCCAGCATTACGCTACATCCACCGCTTTTTAGCCTACAATTACTTGGGTTGGAATGATTTTTCCAGTGGTTTTAGTAAGACTGAACTTTTTTTTCTTTGGTGTATATCCACCGGTCGTAAGGTAAACTTGGGCTTTTGGTTCGCCCGTGCTTTCGAGATCGTCATATGATCCAATCACTCAATTATCCTTGGTTCTTATATTACTAATCTAGCTGAACGTATTGCTATTTTTGATGTTGTCGATTTTACTTACACGTTTTCTATTGATGCACTAGATGAACATTGCTTGGATTCAATGGGTTTGCTCGTCAGTACCTCTATCGTGCCTTACTTCGTTCCTCTAGGAGTGATGACACAAGATCGACCACCACCACAGCAAGCTCGATGCCTGGACGTGCAAGCACAAATGCACGACGTAAATGACCGCCTCCACTCCATCAAGGTGAACATCATCAAGATCCTATCCTATCCTACCTCTGCCCTAGCCACTGCCGTGGCCGCAGTCGCCAATAAACATGGGGAGTATTCTCTATCTTTTCTCTTACATTTTAATTTTTTTTCATATTGGGGCAATACGACATAAGTGAGGGGTAGAGAATGAAAATTTCACCTTGCTCATCTTTATGCTTTATTTTGGTATGCTTTGGTTGAATTGGTTTGAATTTCCGTTGAGATTTTTCACCCTTGTTGAATATTTTTAGCATGTCATGCTTGCTTGAAATTGTATGATTTAAGTCTAGATATTCATGTTGTGGATAATTGAGTTGGGATTTGATTTACCTCTTTTCATGATTATCCGTGGCTTTGTTTATTGAAATTCACCTAGCTCGATGCATGAACCCACTTTGGTAAGATTTGAGTCTTGACGAGCATGTTCTTTATATTTTTTCTCTTATTTCTTATTTGAGTGTGTCGAACTAGAACATTGACAATCTAGAACTTGTAGTACGATGCATGTGGAGATTACATGAGAACTTGGTGTTTTGAAATTATTTAGGCACCTAGGATCACTAGCTTTTTCCCAAAATACCTACCATATTCTTTCCCAGTAGTTAACCATGTTTGAGCCTATTCATGTTTTTCTTGTTTTCACCATGACATTAAAACCCAAGCCTTTTTATTTATTCCTCTCTTCCACCCTTATAAGACAAAGAGTACGAGTTGAAAGTTGTGAGATTATGTTCCACAAGAACGAAAAAGAAAAAAAGGAAAAAATTCGAAAAAAAAGTTTTGAAGAAAAAAAGAAAAAAAATAAAAAAAACAATTCGAGAAAAAACACAGAAAAAGAAAAAAAATGGTTGTTTGATGTTTTGTTCATTGTAATTACCTTTGTTTCTTATGTTTATTTTGTTTATTCTTGTTGCTTATGTTTTCTTTGGTTGTGGACATGATTTAATTACTTGTTGGGAAACTCGTCTTGATTTTTAGCTTCGTTTTAGCCTTATTCTCCACCTTTATGTAAGCCCCATTACAATCCTCTTTCAAGACCCAATGATTGATGCATCTTGTCCAATTTAAGTAGTGAAGATTTGATTGTGTTACAAGCCTATAGGATTGTCATGTTTGGTTTCGAATTTGAGCGTTCTTGCACCATAAACACATTAAGTGAGTTGAATGAAAGTTTTGTGAGGTGTTGAGTTAGGTTGAATTGAGATTAATGAATGATTGGATGTTGTGAATTTGTTTAACTTGATCCAACTCGTGCTTTCAGATTGATTGATATTTTGACTTGGATAATTGTTGAAATTAACTTGCATGACTTGCTTTGATATGAGACGAGGCAAAGGAAGGTAAATTAGATTTTTGACTTGTTCAATTGAAGAATGCTTAAGGGAAAGCATGAGATAAGTGAGGGGGAATTTGATTAGTGTTCTAAATTGTCATTTTTTACTTGTTAATTTCTCCATTTTGTGAATTTATTATTACTGATATGGGTTGTGTTTTGTTTATTTTTGTGCAGCGGTCTACTTTTTGTGCAGCGGGATTCACATTTTTTTCCGATCGCGGTTGAGGACATGGGCACGACACTAGGCATAACACAATCTGACTTGATAGTTTCTAGAATGTCCAATCAACATGAGGAACATTCTGGAGACAACTCAGTTAGCACAATCTGAGGAGTTTTTTTTAGGAAATTTAGTTTTTAAATTTAAAACTTATGAAATTATCTTTTAATTTGTTTTAATTTCCTTGTATAATAGGGATTTAGAAGTCTATGAATACCCTCCTTGGGGTAAGGCTTAGATCATCTTCATCTTGAGTTTCCTTTTGTTATTTTTTTTGGTTTTAATCAAAGTTTTTTTTTCTTTTTTTTCGCTTTCTTTTTTACTTAAGCTTTTAATTGTTTTCTACAAACATGCTAAGTATGGTTTCTACCATGCTTAGCTAATTTTCTCATTTAGCCAAGAGTTAGCAATGATTCAATTCCAAACGTAAGAATTGAAATAGCACTTAATACCCTTCGGGTTACATTCTCATTTTTCTGGTAAATTGGTTTGGCAATTGGTCTTACTTCTAAAAATAAAAAATGTTTTCAAATCAAAAAGTCGACGTTGGTCTAGATGTTGCTCTGATTTAAAGTTGGGAAGAAGAATCGACCGGTAGTCGGTTCGACATCCTGGAAGCACACTTAACGGAAATCCGCTAAGGGAAGCTGAGATCGGATTTGATTCCCAGTGAGACAACATAATCCGAGTTGAGCTTTTCCAAAACTTAATTTGATTTGTTCCAATGACAATGGTTGTGGCTAGTCCATTCAAGGACCAAATTTCGAAGATTGACTTGGGAAGATCAGTTACCAAAGAGAAAAACAAGTTACAAGGGTTAAGCATTGTAAACTGTAACCGACATGAATCCTATAGTAAAATCTATTTTGATGATCAAATGGAATTAAAACAAGCTAGCTCTAGGCTATTTTCTCATAATTGTTTTTGAATTTTTATTTTATTGCTTTCATTTATTTAATTCCTTTTAACTCTTATTTCACCAAACCCACTTTTTATTTATTTCTCATTACAGCTGACTGGATTAAAATCGACAAAATTCAACATCAGGAATTTCTAGGTCCCTATGGATCGACCCTTTTCTTCACTATACTATTCTTGTTTATATTTTTATTTGAGAAAAGGAATTTTATTTGACGAGTAAAACGACGTTTGTCAGACACACATATGTTAGCAATACAAAATTTTTGAAAGGAGTGGACACATAAAAAATTTCAGAGTGGAAACCATTAGTAAAATAAGTAACTAATCGGAAAAAATTCTGATTTGAGGGTGGGCACGTGCTCACCTTCAACACTAGGCCCATCCAATGACAAGTGTAGAATGTGATCCGTCACAGGACCCCAAAATTTAAGGGTCACACAAATGAATGCCATTTAGGCTCGTCTATGTATGACATTTGTGTCCTAACGATATTTGCGTTCGGAGGAAAAATAAATTTTCTGTTTGATTCTCGAGAAAATGACAGAGAAAGTTGTAAACGAAGATTTTAACAATATCTTTAATCGTTTTTATCATGAATTTTGGTAAAAGAATCCTTGTAGATCTCTCATCATTTCAAATTTGAAAAATTAATCTTTAATATAAAATAGAAGAAAATTATTTCAAATTTGAAAAATTAATCTTTAATATAAAATAGAAGAAAATTGAAGTTATACAATATATAAAATTTGTTGAAGATACAAGAAAATTTAAGTTTTAGGGTGAGTATAATCATTGAAATAAATAATTAATAATAAAAACTTCAAATTTATTAGGGATACTTGTCCATCTCACCTTAAACGTGGATATGCTAGAGTGTCCATTATCATTATCTTCGGTTTTAGAGACGAATTAATTTCACTGTCGGTATATTTGTCTGTCTGATATATATATATATATATATATACATATTGTATTTTGTTGGTAAGATTGAAGATTTTTCATAGTATTCCAGGGTAGATATTCTTCTAGATTTGTAATACGAAGGAGTTTTGGTGGGGTTGTTTCAATATTATAATAAGATTGTTAATGTTATTTTCTGTTGAGATGTGAACAAACTTAATAGTTGGATAGAAAGGGACCCTTAAAGTAAACAACCCAAGATGAAAGTAGGCCAGGATGTGAAAAGCTACCCAAGAGATATTGGCAAACTAGTCTTTACTATTATTGCTATTATAAAACTAAATAAATTCCTTTTTTTCACAACCATAATTTATTAAAATAAATACAAAAGGCAATACAATGTCATATTAATGAAATGTGCCTAGTTAAATTTATAAAGTATCTTTATAAAAATATCCGCTCCGATTTATAATAATTATAAAATATTTACAAAAATATCATTCTATATATATGTTATTTAGGATTTTAGTTCAACTTAAATATCATTTCCCCATCTTACCTTTGTCGCTTTTCTCCATACTCTCATTCTTTTTTTTCTTTATTCATCTTTTATTCTTAATTTCTTTTGTTTGTTTTTCATTTTATTTCATTATTTATTATTTTTCTTTACTCTTGAGAGGTTTATTTCGAATTTCCCATAATCAACAACAATCGTCTGTAGTCTATTCTACCTCACTTTTGCAATAAATTTTATGAGGGTTTCAAAATCTGAACAAAAATTCAAATATTGCATGTATTATTTATGGATTAAATTTCTTTGTCTGGTTTTTTTGGGCATTATTTTAAAAATACCAGATTTTTTTTTCTTAGTTTAGTTTATTTTTTTAGTTTGTTATTTTTTGAGTTCATTTTTATGTTTATTTGTTTGTGTTAGTAAGGAAGTTAAAGAAATGATGAGAAAAGAGGGGAATAGATGAGAAAATAAGGAAAATATGGAATTTATCGAATAGGGACAAGTCGAATTTTTAGTTCAAATTTTAGGTCGGATGTCGGATCGGGTGGATCCCTTCAAAATCGGAGGCGAGGCGAGTGACGGATAGAGGATAGCATTCCTCGGGTTGGAGTCGAATAGGCCAACAATTCGACCCGACCCATGCCCATCCCTACATATATCATGACGAAGTTTAATAACTACCTGAATAGGGATGGGCATGGGACCAGAACCCGACGGGTTCCGATCCCACCCGACCCGATCGGGTCGGATTTTTTATATAAAAAAAAATTTTGGGTTCGGGTCGGGTTTTTTAAATGTAATATTCGGGTCTGGTTTAAGGTGAAAAATATCCGACCCGACCCGAAAATATATAATTTTACCTTAAATATTTAGGAAAAATTATAATAATACCCCTCTATATATTATTTTTCTGAATTAAGTCACTGTTTTTATTGAATAAAAATAATTTTTTTATTATTTCGGGTCGGGTTTTTAAGTTATATATCTGGTCGGGTTCGGGTCGGGTGAAAACTTATTTTGGTCGGGTCGGGTCTCGGATGGAGGACTCCTTGTTCTCGGGTCGGGTCGGGTCGGATGGACCAAAAACCAACCCGACCCGACCCATACCCATCCCTATACCTGACTATATTGTTACGGTTAAGACATATTGTTGAACTCTCCCCTATGGATTTTATGACCTATTTGCACCCAGGTTAATTAATAGAAACAAATCAAATAATTAGTTTAGTTATGAAACCATAAATCACCCTTTGAATATGTTAATCACAATTCATTGTATCAAAATCAAGATTGAAATGTATATCTTCAAACAAAATCCAAGAAACTTTATATACAAGATATAGGACCCATTAAGCGATCACATGACACAAAGGAAGTACTCCCTTAAGATTTCAAATTTGAATAGTTATGTGTCTACTGGGTGTGTATATATCCATTGTCAATTGCGCAAGAAAATTCTAAAAGTTTTAACTTATAGTTATCATTTTGGTTAAGTACAGCTTTGATGTATCGTTTTCCGATCTTTGCACATGCAAGAGAACTTTAAAATGGAGGGAATTGAGAAAAATACGAAAAACACCATTTATTTCTCATCACAGATAGTGTGGGAAACATACGGACCAGGACAATTTTGATTGCATTTCCTTTTAGCCATCATGTAATGTAACCTATACGCCATAACCCTGCAAAATTCTTAATCCAAGAGGATAATAACAGAAGCATAGAACAACAAAAGTAGCAGATAACCGTCTATAACCGGAGAATGGTTCGTAACATGTCGCATAAGTTTTGAGTGGTCTGTTGCTCCTGATCGGCCTGTAACTCTTGAAGAGGCATCTCATCATAGCACCTGCAGTAACAAGAGAAAACTAGTTCAAACAAACATACAAGCAAGCAATAGAAGGTAACTGTGAAAGTAGGAAATAGTTACATTTTGTGATAAGCTAGGGCCTGTGCCAGATTCATCAGTGTAGAACTTGAAGTTAGTCTTTTGTAAACACTCGGAGGTAGTTGCATCTGTAGAATGTTAAACTGGAAAATAATTGATAAAACTGCGACAGAGAAATGTTAAAGGAAAACAGAAGGGTGAGAAGTGGATGAATCCACCTCATTATGAGCTCGTCGCCCCTTTTTCGATTGTCCATCACCAGCAAAAAGTTCCTGGAGTGGTCCTAATGGAACAGTTCCACTAAAATCCTGCTGCACGGCTCTAAGAAAATTATCTGATAAAAGGGCAATTGGGGATATATCTGTGGCCCTCAGGAATGGAATAGGTACTGTATTACCAGCTGCATATATTGAAAAGAGCTGCAAAACCAATTAGGTACAACACAAGTGAAGGTTTAACCTTGTTTTCTTACAGAAGCTAAAGTACCACTTACCTTTTGAGAGATGCAAACTTAGATTACAGAAAGAAACTAACCTTATCTTGCAAAGAGAAACCATTTTTCTTGCTGACCTTTTCGTTCTTCAACGTGCCACTACCGATTTGACTGCCGGTTTTCTCCGTTGCCTGTGGAACACTGTCTGGCCTCAGTTTTTGTTCAGGATTGACAAGTATTGAAGAAGGAGGTCCTTGAACCGTTAAATTTAGTTCTTCCATAGTAACGTTTCCTCTTCTGTTATCAACACCAGAAAACATGCTCAGTGAATTGAATGCTAAACTTTGCAACTAGATTAATACTTCCCTACTTTTTTTATGTCGACTTGCAATACAATATAAATATTTTCTTCATGCTAACCAAGCATAAACACAAGATAATTATGAGGTTGACTTTGAAGAGAAAGGAGGAGTATACTGTGATTCAATTAACTGGCGCCTTGCGCCGTTAAGCACTGTGCTTTCAGTATGTTCAAGAACGGTTTGTGATTCTTTAAAACTGTGAAGTTGACTTTGAGAAAATGACTCTTTTAACTCATCCCCAGGATGAACCACTACAGTGCCGAAGTCCCCTATTAAACATATCAGAGAAAGAGAACAATTTCACAAACAAATTGGAGTCTAATTTGCAAATTATTGGATGGGACATTCGAAAAAGTACTCCATACCTTCATCTGTCATGTCCATGCCATCTAATATGTGAGACTTCTTCAAAGTTCCTGTTGCAGGAGTCTGATTTGGAACCTGAAGACCCGTATTCTGAGGTTTTGATTGAACAGTATATCCATAACCCTCATTCAAGTATGAACCTTCAAGTGTCTGATCCAAATTTGGAGTTAGTCAGTACCAGTTAAAGTAAATATGCATGCATACAACAGAAATTGAGTAACTGCATTCAGAAACAAGAAGATTCATACATTAAGTTCTGAACCTGCAGGAGCAAGAGCTTGTGCATGTTCCATTGCAGCCCTTATTTGCTTTGCATTCTCAATCTTTGGTAACATTACAGAAGCTCCACATTTGCATTTCTCAATAAATTTGTGCTAAGTTTCAAAAAAGAGATGATGATTTCATGTCAAAAATATAAACTATAACCAATGAAAAGGCAAGTGAAGCTACAAGTGATCAAGTATATTGAAAAGAAATATTTATTTTTCCCCTTAGCCTTTAAAAAAAATAAGAAGCCCTCGTTTCAACTCTGTGCAGTTCATTACATGTAACGACCGGTACTTGAAACGTGGACAGTTATCTTAACCAGACACCTTACAAGACAGAGCATTTTCCCTTCTCTCATGTCCAAGTATCACCAAAGTGCATGAAGCACTTGAATCCATATACTTGGAGTTCAAGTAGTGGTAATATATATACATATATTTATATTCTTTTACATGTCAGCATAGATTGTTCCAAATAAACTAAACAAACAAATGTACACGTACATACAAGAGACTTTTATATTTGGTAATTTATCCAAATAAACTATTATTAGGAAAGTAAACGAGATTACGTTATTGGAATACAAGTAGATAAATGTTACCATACTTTCATCATCTCAGATGCAGTAGGGCGTAGACTTGCATCCTTTGTAAGGCTCTTAGCAACGAAATCATGAAAGACAAGAGACCTGCATGCCCAAAAATAACTTAAGTGAGAACATAGATCTATGATGTTTTTTTATTTATGAATAAGTGGCATGTATAGAGAAAGCACGAGCTGTTATGATTCTTCTTGGAAAAGGATCTCTATACAGACAAATTCGTGAATAAATAATCATAGCTGGCTGTACAGTAATCTAGGGGTGGGCTAAAAAATCCGAACATATAGTACTATTCTTGTTCCATGTAGAATGAGTAATCTAGAAACAATGAAGCAATTGCCTACTTTCAATCAAATCAATTACGAAAACAAAAAACTCACAGAAATAAACAAGTTATATCATCTATCAGAGCTAGAACAAATATTGCTCATAAAAAAGGAAATAGAAAGACAAACCATTTTTCCTTGTCCTCAAGCATCGGGGCAGGCTCAATCGATATCATAAATAAAACCTATTGCAGACAACAGATATGTTATGTCCAAAGGCTGCTTTTCCCGGTGTCGGATAAAGATGAATTGCTTTAACATGTACCATTTCAGAGGATCACATCAAACTTAAAACAATCAAAACGTAAATAAATGCTTCACATCAAGCACTTACCCTCATTGGATGCACTCCTGATCTTGGAGGCAGCCCCTAAAAAAAATTGAAGATATTGATAGGATGTCAAGGTTCATTACGATTTGTATGTGCATTCAATATTGTCCTTACGTAAGGTACCATGTTAGAGGTTTTATTATTAATAATATTAACTTCTGCTAGTGCAAAATAATAATAATACCTCGGCCATTTCAATTGCAGATATACCAAGTGCCCACACATCAACCTGGAAGTAATGAATTAAAATACAAGAGGTTATACAAAAAACAAACATACAAGCAAATTATCCATTACCAGATTCATTGCAGAAAACAAATGGGCAAACGTTAAAAACAAGGCAGAAAAGAAGATAAAATCCATGCTGGTTAGCAAATATGGTACCTTTCCATCATACCGACTTTCCTGAATAACTTCTGGAGCCATCCAATGTGGAGTGCCAATAAACTGAAAATAGATTAAGAATAGTGTATGTTAAAAACTGTAACAAACTACATAGATTCTGAAATTAGTTTAATTTATGGGAGTAATCTTACATGTTAGGGATATTTTATTGCTGTAGCATATTTGAGTAAATCTATTGCATGTCTTCTTTCAGTCACATACATAACTTCAATTGGACTGTGAAGTTCCAAATATTTGAATGTACCAACTAAAAAACAGAACTAGCTTGTTAACTTACTCTAGGTTTTAAGTAGATACGATGATGCTTAGCAAAGTGACATATTTCACAATCCAATGAAGATAAATTATGAATTTCTAGACATACTTTTTTTTTTTAAAAGAAAAAAATATCTACAACTTCATAATTTAGTAAAAAACCAGACCGAACCGAATATACACCCCTAGTTTATATTCTTACCAGAAAGTCTTATAGAAAATTCATCTGCACCTATCAAATCGAATACTACAATAGGTGTTAAAGAAGAATATTGTGGATGCTTTTTGCTTGGAGTTTGAACAATTGTGCTCAATAAAATCCTACGAGCAAGTTATATATGAAGTAACGACTTCATTCTCATCAAGAAGATTTGTCTTAGGTAGATCACTTACTATTTTTAAGGGAATTGTTTCGGATTTGAAAACCACTGAGGCTATGTATGGAAAAAATATTTAGAGTTAATTATTATTATTATTATTATTATTATTTTGTTATCCTCTTTTGTTTGTATTTTAGAGATATTATTATAAATATTCATGAATTTATCATTGTTAATGAAAAGTGGCGGATGCAAAGTATGGCCAAAGTGGGTGTACACTATGTAATCCAAATTTATTTATATTAGTGGTCTATTTTACTCGGTGGCTCACGGAGCCACAGCTTGGTGAGGGTGGGCACTGAAATCCGAATTTTCTTCGATTAGTTACTTATTTTTCTTGAAATTTTTCGTGCGCATAAAATTTGAGTATTCTTCGATTATTTACTTATTTTTCGGATGTTGTTCACTTGAAATTTTATTTGTATCCATCTCGTTTAAAAATTTTATTTTGCTAACATGTGTGTCCAACCTCAAAAATATTTCTGTAGCCACTGTTAATAAAGTATATGATGCGGTGAGATGCATTTGTTGATTGGTTCTGCTCTGGTTTATGTGTTGTGCTTTTGTTTTCTAGTGCTAGCTAGTTATCTGGTGCCGGTCGAGGTGCTTTTGTTGATATAGAGGCGTTGTTACTGCTTGTCCGTTTTTGCGGTTTTTGTTTGTGCGATGGTAGCTTCTTTGTTGGAGAGTGGTATCGTCTTGTTTGGTGGGTTAATTGGTCTGTGTTGTTTGTTTTTGTATCAAATTGTATGTAATATTTTTGTTCCATTTAAAATTAATGAGGTTTCTAACGAGTCATACAATTTGAATCGTTCCGGTTCGTTTTAATAAAATTATTCCTGCCGAGCAAAAAAAAAGGAAGTATATGATGTCTTATTCTCGTATGATAAGATAAAATATTTTGTGGTTGGACTCAATCTCAGCCTCAGACAAAGGATTCCATTGTTCGTAGGAGGACATATAACAAATTTCTAGTGGTGATGTCAGGATTAGTTGAAATCTAAAATACGAAAAAAGAACTAATTACTATTACAAGAAAAAGAAATATAATAAATCTGACTGCTATTAGTTGTAGAATAGGAAAAAGAGTGATGTTGCGAATCAAAATTGCAAGCATCCAAAGATGTTCGATGAAGTTGGCATAGTGAAACGCTACAATGACGATAAACTTCTAATTGTTTTTGTTGATGACCTCGTAGTAAGGAGTTGATTCTTGATTCTAGTTACATGTTTCATATGTGTCCCAATTAAGACGTTTTTTTACATACAAATCTGTTGCGTATTTCATCTTATAAGAAGATATTAGTAGACTTAGACATATACATCTGGAACATAGTGATTAAAAGAGGATTTTATGTTAAACAAGGAATTAACAAATCTAAGTACAATTTTGGGAACATAAGAGAATTTAATTTATCGTATAAATTCATAATGTTGAGCGTCTAGGTATTAGACCACTATTGAGGATTAGGATGTCGATTTGGTCATTTATACTTTATTTGTGGTTGAAAATATGAATGTTGTTGATATGTAGACCAAGTTCAAAGTTGAGCATTGCTTAAACTTGATGTTCATTGTTGAAGAAAACCTTTGACGGGTTTTGTGGAAGATATGAAGAATCTATTTTTTTATAGAAAATCTTTTTATTTTACTTTTATACTTTCAAAATTCGTGAAAAGGTAGAGATTATTAGTAATTATTATTTGTAGGGATGAACGTAAAATTTTAAGTTACAAGACGAACATGAGCTTATAAAATTTCAGAGGAAATAACTTGAACTTATAAAATTTTAGGGGGTGCAAATAGATTTTCAATAAAAAATAAATAGAAAAAATCTAAAATATATAATAATTTTAGATTTTTAGGGTGACGACCGCCCCCACCCTTTTTCTCCTAAGTCCATCCATAAGTAATTGAATTTCATTTTGCGTTAGATCCAAAAAATTCACGATGTGACCCACTTAGTATAAAATACCAAAAAAAAGTGAAAACCTGTGGTGGAGCCCCTTCAATATGATGATAGTTTGTTATCTAAAGTTTCATGTTCATACAACTATAAATATTTATCTAGGATTTATATGTTTATAAGAGTGAGCTTTGTGCAAGAAGCAAGCGACCTTAATGATAAATGAATTGTTATTATTTCTTGAGGTCTTGGGTTTGAACAGACTCGGCTATTAGGGGGAGCGTCCTGAGCGATTGCTCAGGGGCCCCATTTTTTATCTTTGTACCTAGGGCCCCTATTTTTCATCTTTATAATCAGGTCCTTAATTTTTAAAAATCTTAATTTTTTTATCTTTATAATTAAGGTCCTAATATTATTCAATCTCACTTTTTATCTTTATAATTGAAGTTTCTAATTTGTTTCAATTCCTTTTATTGTCTTTATAATTGAGACCCCTAATTTTGTAATCTCACTTTTAACTTTATAATTGAGGCTTTTAAGTTTTTTCATTCTCACTTTCTACCTTTTCAATTGAAGTCCTTAAGTTTTTTCAATCTCAATATCTACCTTTATAATTGAGGCACCCAATTTTTTAATCCACTTTTTAACTTTATAATTGAGGCCTTAAGTTTTTTTTCATAACTTTGTAATTGAGGTCACTATTTTTTTCAATCTCGATTTATAACTTTATAATTAAGGCCTCTAATCTTTTACAATTTTATAAAATTCTCAATTTCTCTTCCCTTTCTCCCTCTCTCTCATTAATTCATTTAATTTTGAATTAAATCTAATCATTTTTGTCTTTTTTTTTACAAATCTTATTTTTCAATTTACTAAATATTCTTTAACTCTTAATCTTCTCCAATCTCAATCTAACGGAAATGTAATATGTTATTCTTTATTTTTAATTTATTATTCAGAATAAAACTCCATATAAATAATTTATACTCACATTCGATATTTTATTCTTTTAGTCGTATTTAAGGTGTTTTCTTAACAAAATATTGAAATTAATGTTTGAAAATGTTTAATAATTTTCTACAATATTAAATTAATTGTTCAAAGTAATGGAATATGTATTCCTTCAATCAGGGCCTATTTTTTATTTTCGTTAAGGGCCCCGAAAATGTTTGAGACGGCTCTGGATTTGAGCACAAAAAATGTTAGGAATATGAGTGTTCAATGTCAAATGGTTAAAAGTTATTTTTGAATAGATATTACTTTGTACTTACCCTAGATTAATAAAAAAAAAGTGCTTTGTGTGCTATTATGGCATGTTTAGGTTTTGTTGTAAGCCTCTTAGAATTTCTTTTATATTTTTATCACCGACGTAGTGAATTTTCTCTTTTTTATCCTTAATTTTCTCAAAAGGATTTTCTAAATAAAATTATATATTTATTACTTTTTTTTGATCCCGCATCAATTATTTTTCCTTTTACATATTCCTAACAATAACAATCTCCTTCATG